GAGATAAGGCAAAATCATCTAAGGATAAATTTTTGTTCAATCGATAAGTATGTCCTCCTTCCAAAGTATCTTATACATGCAATAACTCTTTGGCCGTAAATAACTCTATTTACTGTGGTATTGTGGTAAATTTTATTGATTGATCTCCCAATGTACTACCGATCGACGAGGAGAAATCAAACTCAAAGGTCCACGAACTATCTGCATTGCTCGACGAAGCAACATTCTCAAGATCACTTCCATCGACATGGTAGTAATCTGGTGGGTTCGGTTGCAGAATCGGGTCTTTTTCGGTTAGGAGCATCACCACCACCGAGGACATTATAGGTCGATCTACTGCACGATACTGAACACACAAGAGACCGATTTGTAAGCACCGTTTGACTTCCTGTGATGATGAATCTATGATGGGATCTATGACATGTGCCCATTCTCCTTCCTTCCATTTCTTGAAGACCTGTTCATACATAACTTAACAATTATTGTCTTTCTTATTGTTTTGCAAACTGTATCACAAGGAAACTGTTTCAACTTACGTATGTGAGCAGACTCATGCCGTCTTCTAATTCCGTGTTCTTCCTTCCAGTTAGAATCTCGATAATCAAGACTCCGAAACTGAAAACATCCGATTTCTCGGAGAAAGTCCCATATCCGGAGTATTCAGGTGACATGTACCCACTGGACAAATATGTATTAAACTCACAGTTGAAAGAAAAAAGAAAAGTGCTTGTAATTTCGAAAGATGATAATAATGTTTCAGAACTTACTAAGTTCCAACCACCCTTTTCGTGTCAACCTCGTTCTCACCCCTTTTAAAGATCCGAGCCATTCCGAAGTCTGAGATCTTCGGGGTCATATCTTTGTCAAGCAAAACATTGCTCGGCTTTAGGTCACGGTGAATGATCATGGTTGGCGAGTCGTGGTGAAGATAGGAGAGGCCTCGGGCAGTACCTAAAACAATCTCAAATCTACTCGGCCAATTTAGCTCATAGCTTTGGGTTTTGTCTACAAATAAATGGAGTTTGGGTTAAGGTACTTGTTACAAAGACAATGAACTTGTACAGTATATATATGCAAAACACCAACACTAACCGAAGAGATAAAGATCAAGGCTCCGGTTCTCCAAGTATTCATAGACAAGCAGTTTTTCGTCTCCATGAACACAATAGCCAAGAAGCTGAACAAGATTATTGTGTCTTACTTTGGTGATCAGTCCCAGCTCGTTTCTAAATTCAAGAAATCCTTGACCTGATGCTTGTGATAGTCTTTTTACAGCAATATCCTGACCGTCAAGTATTCCCTGCTACCACACATTTCATAACTTGTTTTATTAGTAGTACACAAACTAGTAATAGATTCTATGCTTGTGATAG